GGCTAAGCTAAGGATTTAAAAGACTTCAAATAGAAATTCGAGAAGGATATTGAAAACATAGATATCTATTAAATATATAGATTTACTTATACTACCTGCTTTATATGTTATCATCCCCTTGAAATGAAATGAGAGAATGGGAATGTAAACATAGATTACTATGAAATATGTATGTATATATACATATACATATATATAGTCTAACTACCCATGCTATATATACCCTACTTTCACAGGCTAAGCTAAGGCCTTAACAATCTTCAAATTGAAATTCATAATATATATATATCGCCTAAGTTGTACAATCTCTTTTCAGTCTATCTAATATATTTTACTCCTTTAACATGCTAAGCAATAGTTTCAGCAATCTCCAAAAGGAGATTTTGATCGTCTTAAGGCAACAGTTACTCATATTGAACCAAAGTAAATGCATTCAAAATTCCAAATTATTTACAGACATTGGTACTTTGATGTAAATAATAATTAGTTTGTAAAGCGAGAATATAACCGTTTAAATAGGTTGCACTTTGAGTGCAATAATATCTATCTCTATCTCTAATATCTATTTTTAAAATCATATTTTTATATTGAATAAAAGCAGAAAATGCTGTAGAATCAATCAGTTTTAAGCTAGAATATTCCGTCTGCTTCAATATAAATTTTTTTTTATTATTCGTGTTTTTTTTTTTCTGCTACACGATCCGCTTAACCTCTGCTTCGCTCGTTAACAATGAAAACAGACAGAGAGCAAATATATTTCGCTGTTCCGTTCGCGCTCTGCTGATATTTTTGCTGTAACCGAATATTACAGAATTCGTGCAGCTGGCAGCGCATTAGCTGAATTGCAGCTGCTCGCTGGACAAGCGAGGCGAAATCAAAAGCTAACACCAAAACTCTGGCCGATTGGCAGTAATACAAAACGGAAGCTGAGGTCACGGCGCAGCGCTCCAAAGGCACGTACTTTGCATTCTTTGCGACCCTAGGCCAGTCGAACTGGCAAATGCGTTTAGCCTGCGAGCGCATACACATGCACATGTATGCACACATATACCACTATTTCAGCGGGCAAAATCCGACTGGGTCACGGCGTGAGTCCGACTGGGGTGTGCGGCAGGAGTCGGCGGAGGCTAGGCAATTGAGAGCCTCACGAAAATGAGTTCGTGTTTCGTTGCTGATTTATGTACAGTAGTGAGAGAGAGAGAGAGAGACAGAGACAGAGAGAGAGAGGTAGTGCATGTGTGTGTGTAAAGTACTTAATTTGATTTGCGTGCCGTTTGTAACACTTTCTAATGCCTAAACACGAAGTTTTGGGTGGAAAACCATTTGAACTCTGCTTTTGTGAATCGGATGTCAACAATTTTTGGTAATTCCCAGGGCTGGGGGCTGAGAGCCGAAATGCCGAATGCCAAATGTTAAATTTCATTAGATGCTTCACTGGGAATATGAGGGCGGTCGAGCTGTCTGGCTGTCTAGCGGAAATGATCGGTTTGCCACACACACTCACACACACATATATGCATATAGACCCATGGGACTCGAGCACCCACTGATAACACCAATGACATCATCATCATCATCGTCGTCACCATCATCATCGTCGTCATGATCATTAGCTGTATAAATAATAGAATTTGTTGTTTTGCCAAATGTTCAGTCCATTTTGCGACTTTTGTTCTGATAAGACCCAAGCGAAGGTCAAACGGTTCAATGGGCCGTGAAAACTCTTCATCTATCGATTTAGGTTAATATTACTGCTGGACTGGGATTACGTGACTTGGAATAGCAACATAGCAACATAAGAGAGACAGAGAGAGGGAGCTCTACTAAAGGATTTAGTGTGAATTGAGCTGCGATTAAAGCTGATCAAAGTCGATTTATATAAAGTTTATGATCTAGATTTAAGTATAGACTTGATAACCGAGACATGCAGAAAGTATTACTAAATTCTTCTACTACTACTACATCGAAACCAATCAATATATCAGAACTTAGACTTAATTGAGTGCAGGTCTAACTCAGGTACATCCCAAGAGATCGCTTCCAAGAATTCAGTATTCAGAATCCGTTTATATTAAATAATAACTGATTAAGTTCTATCAAAATAATCAATATGAATAGCTATAAAGCATGAATTGACAACTTAAGAACCGTTAAGTTGTTGAAAAACACACCAAAGGCAAAAAACTCGAAGCACAAGTTGATGATCAAGATTGATCAGCTAAAAACCAGTTGAGATATTTGAAAAATATTTATTTATGCATGAAAAAAGAAAAAAAAAAAAGAAAAAAAAAACGGAAAGACAAAAGAGATTTAAGTAATCGCACTCTCTTTGCATTGCAAAATCTCCAATCAAGTGAGCATTTCTTGGTATTTCGATGCGATCTCGTCAGCGAAAACCGGCCGCAGCTGATGCCGGACAGCCAGCGATCACATCCGCGGCGCCGCGGCGTTCGCATCGCGCCTGCAATTAGCGAAAAGGTCAAAGGCCACAGCAGCTGCTGGGCCTGGCCCAGGGATAACGGCAAGGATCTGTCTGATAGCTTCCAAATGGCAAGCAGCGCACGCCTAATCCGACATGCTCTAGCCCTATCTCGCTCCCACTCCCACTCACGCTCCCTCTCTCACTCTCTCTCAGCCATGGTTAACGGCGAAATTTAATTGAATTTGCATTTAAAACATGTTTTCAATTTGCACAGCCAACAAAAGGCAATAATTATAATAAAGTCAAATAAAATATTTATGTATGTAGTATATAAACCTAAAGAAAGAGCAAAGAAAAGAAATAACAACAACTACTTACATTTAACTGCTTTATATCCCAGGCGCAAGCAGAAGAAGAAGACGAAGAAGAAGGCGGCGGTGGCAGAAGAGCGCAGAGGCAACAACAGTTACGCATGCGTTGTTGCGGTTACTGTTGTTGTTGTTGTTGCTGCTGCTGTTGTCAACGCGGTGCCTTTTGCTGTTGTTATTGTTGCAGTTATTGCTATTTGGTTTGTTTGTGTTTGTTTTTTTTTTTCTTGTCGTTCGCTGATTTGACGCGTTGTTTTTGTTGTTTTTTTTGGGTTAATACAAAATGATTGTAAAATAAATTAGCAAACGCATAAATATTAAACACGAATCTTGTGCGTTTATGTTTTCCTTCTTTTGTTGTTGTTGTTGTTGTTTTATTTGTTATATTTATTTCACGCTGTTGTTGTTGTTGTTGGGCTTAGAACCATGCTCCAAATATTTGTTGTTATCGTTGCGGGCTTTGCTTTTGTTGCTTTTTCGGTTTGTATTATTTTTTTTATTTATTTATTTTTTTTTTATCTAAATTTTGTTTAATTGCTTAAAGTTTTCTTGTCGCTTGTTGCCTTTCATTTTTTCTTAGTCGCTCTCGTAGCTGTTGTTGCTAGCATTATGAGAACTGTTTGTTGTTGTTGTTGTAGTGCAAGCGCCTCACATGGCAGCACACACACACGCACATACAATGCGACGCACATAGACACACGCACACAGACGCATTGATGAATCCGCGTTCACAAAGAAAAAGATTTTGCACACAAGAAAAAAAAAGCACACACACACAGGCGAAATGAAAATGAAAATAAAATAATATAAAAGTCAATTTATAGTCACAATTTTACACGGTAGCAACAACAACAATAATATGTATTATTTATGGAAATAAATTGAATTCGTAGTGTGTATTAAACGAAGCAGAAAACGCACGCACAGTGGATACAAAACATAACTGTAAAAATTGTAAAATTAAAAAAAAAAAACAAGATTTAATATATTGAAAATATTGAATATATATGTATATGTATATATGCAAGTATATGTATATATTTATATATGTATGTATGTATGCACTTTGTTGTGCCAACAACAACAGCAACAAATTGTAAAAGATTATAATTTCAACATGCACAAATACACATACATACATGCATACACAAACATATATTATATACATATTATATATATGAGATTATAAATTATCGGCGCCTGTTGCTGTTGTAACAATAGCCAACAGCAACAACAACAAGCGAATGTCGCGTGTGTTTCACAACACATAAATAAGTCAATTTACATGAATACATGCACACATGTATCGACATACATACATACATATATCTATGTGTGTACGTATGTATGTATGTCTCTCTATATGAATATTAAGCTTTATTTTATTTTATTTTAATTTATTTGATTTTTTTTGTGCATTTT